CTTTTCTTTTCCTATTTGAATGCCTTTTATTTTATTCTCTTTTCTGATTGTTGTTGACAAGAACTTCCAGTACAATATTGAAAAGGAGAGGAGAAAGTGGACATCCTTGTCTTGTACCAGTTTTTAGTGGAAAAGCTTTCAGTTTTTCTCCATTCAGGATGATGTTAGCTGTGGGTTTTTCATACATAGCTTTTATTGAAATCAAAGTAGAGTCCCAAGAAAGAGGAAAAAACAAACAAACAAACAAACAAACAAAAACAGAAAACACCTCCTTCCAAAGGAGCACAATAACTTCACCAACAATGAATAAAGCACAAGAGATTACAGAAGTGTCAGAAAAAGAATTCATAATATTCATCATCAGAAAGTTCAATGAGATGTAAGAGAAAACAGAACCAATTCTAGGAGATGAAGAAGGAATTCTACCAATTGAAGGAGAAACTCTATAAAGAGATAGCGAAAGAATCAAACAGGACTTCTGGAGACAAAGAATATGATCCAGGAAGTAAAAATCTCCCTTGAGATATTAACTGCAACTTAGACCAAGCAGAAGAAAGACTCTGAGCTTCAGGACAAAACCTGCAACTTAGTCCAAACTGACTTTTAATACAGTTAGATTAATCCACTTGATTATCATCTTCTGTGTCATCTAAATCAAAATCTAACTGTAAGCGATCATTATTTTCTCCATTTTTTTGTGACTTTTTTTATAGTTAGGCCTTAGATTGTTTTAATAGTTTTTGTCTTTTCTTGTTCTTTATTAAACAGAATAACAATATCTCTTTCTTTCCACATTTTGCACAAAGTTCAAGTTCTCAGGTGCATGGTCTATACTGTGTGGTAAGAGTCCTTCAATGTCTTTTGCAAGAATTTAACACATTTGTTAGTTTTCAAAATGGTCTGTACTTGCTGTATTTTACACAGTATTCAAAAAAATTCTTTACAGTGCTGACATACTGCATCATGAAGTTTTGCATTAATTTTCTTGATCTGAACGCTCTTATCAAACTTGTTGTAAAGCATTGAGTATTTTATTAACATCAAATTGTAAAAGCTTTACATTTATGACACACTAAGATAAAGGAGTCTATTTTCTTATAGAAGTTATTCTTTGGCATTTGATTGTTGGTCTAGAAGTTGTGGAGCTTTGCTATTTTGTAAAATATTTTAGGAATTCAGAATCTTGGTCTTGGACTGGTAAAACTATGTCATCATTTCCTTGCTTCAAGGGAGAAGAGACACTCACTGAAGTGTTTCTTGATATTCTAAAATCTGCTGTGCACTTTTGCAAAGTTGACAGAATGAAAGACATTATGAAAAAGTCAACCTTCAAATATATCTATAACAAAAACACTCCTAAATAGTAAAATCATAATTTAAGAATATGTACCTCTAAATAACTGGACACCAGCTCCAACATGCGTGCGCACACACACACACACACACACACACACACACACACAAATAAAAAAGAAGAATAAAAAAGTGGGGGAGTGAGGAGATATCATAATAACTCTCCCCACTTTTTCTGAATAGAAATATGTAGGAATTAGGAATTCAATAATAAATTTTTAGTTCAAAACAAATATTTAGTTAAAAATACAGTCAACATTTAACAGACGACATCCATATGAAGTTGACCTTTTCCTAGACATGGGTATTTCTTGACAACAGCTTAGTCATCATCTAAGAAAAATTATAGAGATACCCACAATTCCACCCTCCAGTCAAACTTGTCATTTTTTAAATTACAAACATTGCCAGGAAAGTGGCATGGTGTCTGAGACACTGGATTTTCACAAGATCAACCATGGGTCAGGTTCCAAACCTGTCCATTTGCTTTTTCACTTTCTCTTTCTCTCTGTCTCTTTCTGGTCAAAACTGAAGAATAATGATAACAAATAAAACTTAAAACAAATAGATCTTGAGAAAAAAAAAGTGATCCACAGACTTCTAAGGCCTGGGACACGCCAACTTGCCTTTCTGGGAGCTCATCACGGAAACCAAAACCACCTCGTGCCATTTACAGGGTGGAGGGAAGCCCTCTAGTTCTGGTTCTGGTCACACACACACACACAAATAAAAAAGAGAAGAATAAAAAAGTGGGGGAGTGAGGAGATATCATAATAACTCTCCCCACTTTTTCTGAATAGAAATATGTAGGAATTAGGAATTCAATAATAAATTTTTAGTTCAAAACAAATATTTAGTTAAAAATACAGTCAACATTTAACAGACGACATCCATATGAAGTTGACCTTTTCCTAGACATGGGTATTTCTTGACAACAGCTTAGTCATCATCTAAGAAAAATTATAGAGATACCCACAATTCCACCCTCCAGTCAAACTTGTCATTTTTTAAATTACAAACATTGCCAGGAAAGTGGCATGGTGTCTGAGACACTGGATTTTCACAAGATCAACCATGGGTCAGGTTCCAAACCTGTCCATTTGCTTTTTCACTTTCTCTTTCTCTCTGTCTCTTTCTGGTCAAAACTGAAGAATAATGATAACAAATAAAACTTAAAACAAATAGATCTTGAGAAAAAAAAAGTGATCCACAGACTTCTAAGGCCTGGGACACGCCAACTTGCCTTTCTGGGAGCTCATCACGGAAACCAAAACCACCTCGTGCCATTTACAGGGTGGAGGGAAGCCCTCTAGTTCTGGTTCTGGTTCTGCAGGCGGGCACGGGAGCCACAGAGCTCACAGACTCTGAGACATTCTTCTCGCATAGTGGTCTCCTTGGGGCCTGCTGAGCACACCTGCTCAGGGATTATGGTGTGGAAGAGGGAGCTTTCTCAGCAGAGGGGAGGCCAGAGATGCCAGGCGAGTATGCACAGTGGCGCAGGTACAGCCATGAGCACGGTGGCAACGTGGTCAGATGCATGTCATCATCACCTTCTCGTGCTGATGTCATCAGTGAGGACCAGGTGTGTTGGTGGTGCCTGTTGCCCTTTGGTTGTCTTGCTAAACACAACCTCCCACCTGAAGACCAGTCGCTGAGGCACTGTGCCACAGAATTTCTCCCGAAATAAGTTTGCACAGGCATGGAGATGGTTCATCCCTTTGAGAGATGAATGCTAAAGAAAGGCCACTTGTCAAACAGCTCTGACATTACTTTCTGGCTTGAAGCTCATCTCTTTTCACCAGAGAAAGTCCACACTGTCCAGAGACACAAATTCAATGCAACAGGGACACTGTGGCAAAGTGTATATGCATGTGAGACTATGTGTATGCATGTGTGTGCCTGTGTGTGAATGTGTGATTTTTATATATGTGCATGTGTGTGAACGTGATCAGGTTTGTGCACATGTGTCAGTGTACGTGCATGTGGGATACATGTGCTTATGTACACGTTTGTGTGCATATGTGTGAACACATGCATGCTCATGCTTGCACACACACATGTGAATATGTGCATGTGTGTGTGCACATCTACTTCTATAGCACTTCTCCAGAGGAAGTAATCCATGGTCCACTAAAATTGAATTCTTTCTCTTTCTCATAAAACATGTAGAGACCATGTCCTTTGAAAATGAAGAGGCAGTTAGTGTACTGAAAAAACACTTCTACATGAGACACCATTTTCTTCCTTTGATGCTTCAACTCCGTTGCCTCTAAAAATTGGAATGGAAAGACAGAGGTCACTGTAAGAGGGCTGCAGATAGCTGTGTGGCACTTAGACTCTCCGGAACAGTGGGGTCAGTCACCGAGGTGGCTTTACAGGTGGCTCCAGGCTCTAACAGCACTTAGTGACACCTGCATCGCTCTAAGCAGTCAGTGACCCTAGGGAAAGCAAGGGCCCTATGTTTTTATCTGTTTTCATCCCTGTGTCTTCTCAGCCCAGCATCCAGCACAGAGGCACCCCAAAAAGGACATTTGTACTTACCTCGGCCATATGTGTTGCCTTTCTGCCGTCAGTCAGCGTGCTAATAACGGGAGCTCCCATAATGAGAAAAAGTACGCTGTCCCATGGAGTGGGGGTCAGCTAAAATACACACGGTGAGAATTCCTGCTACTGATAGGGACAGAGTCCTGTGGATGAAGCGAGGCAGTTTACAGTTCAACTTCGAGATGTGATTGAAAAAAGAGGAATTTGAGACAAGAAAGATCATGAGGTGGTTTATGGTGTAAGAAAGTTATTTTATTATTTTTGGTAAGCGCTGTCAGCAGGATATATGCTTGTGTATGTGTCCATACCCATCTCTGTCATGTGTCTGCCTTCACTTATCTCTCTCTTACATGTGTCTGCATTTCATCTATCAATTTATTGGTCTATCTGTGTATATCTACTCTGTAAAGGGCCAGTGCACCACTTTTACAATTTTAACTAATTCCATAGATGGGAGGGGACAATTTAACATTTTTGTGCACAATGAGGAATAATAATAAGATCAGATCTGTATGTTATCAAAGATATGCCAGAAACAGTTTCAAAACAGAGGTTGGAAGAATTACTAAAAGGGAAATCCCACCTAATTTGCAGGAATGGTTGAAGGTCTGAGTGTCAGCAAAACAGATCTAGAGAGGAGAGGAAGGGCAAGGAGACACTGCATGGACTGATGGAATGTGGAGTGTGAACAGAGTCCCCATGGGTTTTTCTAGCTATTGTAAATGGGGAGCTGTTGAGGTCCGCGACTGAGACAGAGAACACAGAGAGAGGAGGTAAAATATTTCAAGGCAGGAAACGTGCCGTGGTTGTGGACATTGCAGTGTGGGAACAGCTGGCGCAGGGGGGCGGTGGTAAGCAGGCAGACTGGGGCGAGCCTGGTTTCCTCCTCATGCGCGTGGTGGCGTTCACTCTTTATCTGTGACATGGGGACCACTGGCATTTTTCTGACATCATTGTGAGAATTTAAACATGCAATTTCCTGTTGTTTAGGAGTCATTATCTTTGAAAACCTAACTGCCTAGCATGGAATAAACATCCCATTCATATCAGTCACTATTACATAGCATTTTTCACTCTTACTACAGCAAGTAGTCTGGTAAGTAAGCGACCGTAGACGTTTCCTGTGTGAAAGGCGCTGTTCTCGTGACTGTAGGGAACATTTTCTCTGTGAAAGGTTCCGTTCTCAATAGTTCCTGTATAGCAACATTGAGATATTAGCAGTGTCCTCCGAAAAAGGTACTGTTATTACTGCTATTATTTATTTATTTATATATGTATGTATGTATGTATGTTTGTATGTATTTCTTCTGAGATGAGAGTGTGAGAGAGGGAGGAGAGCCAGTCCCAGCAGGACCCTCACGCTGTGATCTAACTCTCACATCAGCCCACCCAGATCGCACGCACATCCCTGCCTGTGGAGAGAGCCCTGTGACATTCCCACGTGCATCCAGTGGTATTACTGCTGCGCCACCTGCCAGCCCCTTTTTATTTGAAATTAAAGATGAAGAAAGCAGGACACAGAGAAATTCAGAAAATGACACTAAAGAAAACACACCATTAAGTAGTAAATTTCACCAAAGGTGTGAAATAAGAGAAGGCAGTACAGAAGCAAAGGAGAAGAAAACACCAGGGAGAAGCAGGTGACTGGTTGTGCCAGGTGGTACAGACAGGCCAGGAAGGATGAGGGCTGAGAAGACTGGGACCCGGTCCATGTGCAGGAATCCCCACAGGTGTGTGCAGACAGGCAGGCTGCCATGGGCAGAAAATAAATGGAAATGAAGATGTGGAATGGAAACAAAAGTTGATTAAGACCACTTTAGGGGACTAGCATGGCGTAATGGTTACATCACTGAACTCCCACATAGTCAACTGTGGTTCAAGTCCTGGACCCAGTGGCTTAAAACTCATGCCTGGAATGTGTGTGTGCCCAAAATCCCAAGAAGAGACTGCAGAAGAGATTGTGGTATGGCCATCCCCCCTGGGGGGGTGATTTCTCATTTTCTGTCTCTGTTTCTCTGGTGAGCTCACATGCCATGTAGCAAAAATCTCTAAAAACAAAACGAAAAAAAAAAATCAGTAGCAAAAGGAGTAAGAGAGACAACAAGAGTTTAAGAAAGAGAATGAGAGTGGAAGTCCTAAGAAAACAGCTGAGCTGGGGATCAGTAGATGCTGTGGTGGTTAAGGCAATGGGGACTCCCACATGATTACAGTTCAAGTCTCAAACCTGATGACTGGAAAATCGTGCTGGGTGCATGTGTGTGCATGCCCAAAATCCTAAGAGGAGAAAGTATTGCAGTGTGGCCATCCCCCATTTGAGGCAATTTTTCACTTTCTCTCTGTCTCTCTCTCTCTCTCTCTAGTAAAAACATGCATTTTATGACAAAAACTTAAAAAAGAAAAGAACAGAAATGAGGAGAACTATTTGTTCAAGACCTGTTGAGAGACTGTGTACTGAGGTTGCCATGATTGGTCCACTGTCCACCTCCAGCCTATTTAGGGACCCACCAATGAATTGACAGTGACCTTATCGTTGAGGCAGTTTCCAGTGCACTATTTGCTCTCCACACCTTCCCTACAAGGGAGTGGGTAATTTTCTCTCTAATTAAGGGCCAGTATTTGATTCATACCTGAAAAAATGAACATGAGAAGGAGACGGAAGCATGTGAAGGACAAGAAGGCATTCTTCTCTTGGGCTTTAAGGCCAAATAGGCCCACATTGAGGAAAAGAAGAGACACTTCACAGCAAATGGGTATTAAAGATAAGAATTTAAGCAGAATTGAACTGGACAGAACTAGGAGACTCAGAAGGGTTAGGAGAACAGACTAATTTTCCTCTAGGGGTGAGAATAAGGAAACTGTTAAGGACTAGCTAATGAGTATGGTGAGGAAAAATTAAATGTATTTCTTGTTTTTACATATTAAATGCAACTTCTTAAAATGGCTACAACTCAGTGGCACTATTTCTCAGACATGGAGTAAGAGCCGCTGTGGCATTTTGGGGATTCAGGAGATATATTACGAAGTGTCACTTCATGTGCTAGAGAACTCTTCTCTCCAGTCACAGAGAAATACTGTAGCTCTCCTATAAATCTCAATACAATGATTTCTCTAGGAGTCTGCAGTTTAAGAATCTTTGAGTTAGGAAAAACTTAGGGTAATTATATGCACATGGGAACTGAGACTTCTTCTTCATCAATGACAACAGTTAAAAATAAAACAAAACAGAACAGGAATAAGGCTTTGCTAAGCTGGCCAAGAGCTTCACTGCCTGTAGGAGGGTGACATCAGAAGACCTCTGCTCCTGGCTTTAAGTTTTAAGCAAAGTTTCTTAGCATTTCTTTGATTTATTAAACTTAGAACCGCTTTTCTTGAAATTACCAGCTGAACTTGCTATTGAAAGTAGTTGGATTATTTAAGAAATTGTGTGATCAATAAAATGTGGGGATGGGGAAGGAATGTAAGACAATTGTAGACACCAGAGATAGTGTGAGAAGAGGGTGGTAAAGGCAGAGGGTCAGAAATTGGGGTGAAAAAAATATATATGAAACTAGAAATGGAAAATTTTTTATGCTAACATGCATGATTAAGCCACTATGCAGTATATTCTGGATGGGAAATCACATTTTGCATGTTGTGATGTTGCTTAGGGAATGAATATAAATTAATTAATTTAAAAAATGCTTAAAAAAACACAAAAACTTTTTCTAGAAATTAAAAAAATGCATGAAAAATACCTATTTGATGACGGCAGTAAACTCTATAGCCCCAGCTAGATGCTACTTTATGTATGTTCATTGTACTCACTGAAGTTTATACCTAAGGTCAGACTTGTGTTCGTTGATATGTATATATCAGCTGTGCTTGCTACTGAAAATATTTAGATTAATTCCGATCTTTAGTGAATCAATAAAATGTGTGGAGGGGAAGGCATAGAAAGCTACCATGGATACCAGAGACAGTGTGGGAGGGGTGGGAGATGGCAGAGGGTGAGAGATAGGGAATCAAGGAGGGAAAAAAAGCAAAATATACAGGAAACAAAAAATGGAAAATTTTTTGTTGACTATAACATGTATGTTGATGTGCTTGATTGAGCCAATATACAGTGTATTCTGGATAGAAAATCTCATTTTGTATGCTGTAATGATGTATAGTAAATGAATGTAAATAAATACATTTAAATTAAAAAAAAAAGGAAAAAAAAAAGAAAAAAACAAGACTTCTGCTCCCAGGTGCCTGTATGGGAGAGGGAAGTCTTTTAGGCCCTGAGTTATGAATAAACACGGCAGGGACCTACCGAGGCTCTGGTGATGGGTGACAAAGTGGAGTTTAGCTGCCACAGGGAAAGGGCAAGACCACTGAGAAGGCACGACTCCAACTCAGAGTGCACTGGGCTTGTCCGGACGAAGGGTTGTTAGCGTGGACATGTGAAAGCTGATGACAGAGCAGAAACACTGAGCAAAGCCTCTGTCCCCCGAGCCCTCACACTGAGCCAAGCAGTGGCAGTGCCTGGCTGCAGGCTGCCCCGAGCTGAGGTGCTCTAACCGGCCAGCTTACTGACAATGGCAAACCTAAGGTCTGTACTAATGGCTTAGAGGAAAAGAGATATGCCAAGTTCTGGATGTAAGTAATCATTTACTTTGGGGTCACATGTGCTGCGTTGGTTAATGCGCTGGACTCCACATGGGTGACCATGCTTTGAGCCCTGGGCCTGGACTTGACTCATGCCGGGTGCACGTGCATGCATGCCCAAAATCCCGAGAAGAGAATGGAAGAGAAGGGGTTGTGGTATTGCCATCCCCCATGGGGGGGGGGACGGGAGTGATTTCTCACTTCCTCTCTCGGTCTCTCTGTTGAGCATATGTACCCTATAGCAAAAATCTCTCTCTCTCTCTAAAAACATACTTTCTACCATGTAACTATATGGAATCCAGCATTCAACAAAAGAGTTACAAGAAACATAGTAAAAGCAAATATTTTAAATAATCAAGGGTCAAGAAATAGGGCAATCAACACACAGGATATGGTGAGGCCCCGAATGTAGTTGCTGTTACACAGAGAACCTAAAATCTGCTTATGGTGTTCAGAGAAGTAGTGGGGAGACATACATGGTTCAACTTCTATAAATTGGGTGGGCATTAGTTTGTATTAATAGTTTTTATTAGCTTTATTTGTTTGAAAAGATAATTGTTAAAAAAAAAACTGGGGGCCAACATGTGGTGTGGTAGTGAAGGTGGCTGGATCCCATATGACTGATCGAACAGTTCAAGTCCCAGACCAGGTGACTTGAAAAACACGCTGGGCTCATGTGCATGTCCAGAATCCCAAAAGGAGAGAGGAAAGAAGGGATTATGGCACCCCGTGGGGAGAGTGTTTTCTCGCTTTCCCTCTCTCTCCTCTGTCACTCTGGTGAGTACATGTACCCAATGACAAAATAGTGATACTGTAGAATTCATGACAGACTGAAGTAAAACACTTAAAAGCTATAGCACACAGGAAGGGAGGGGAAAGAGTCTAA